GTGCAGAACATTAATTTGCAGAAAAATGCGGAAAACCTCAAATTGCTTTAAATGTAAACGACAAGGAATTGAAATTGCAGAAATGTAAATAACAGGAAATCAAAATTGCAAAACAAGAAATGCAGGAAAATTTAAGTACAGAATCTTATATTGCATCGAAGGTAAATGACATAAATTTAAAGTACGGGAACTTAAATTGATGAATGTAAATAAGTTACCAATGGAAGTAAAGAAAGCGGTAAAAACAATCAATGAGAATGGAAATCCAGATCGCCAGAAACTTCATGATTCGTCGTTCTCCGGTAGACTTTTCACTTGTGCTTCTGTTGTCTCTGCCAATTTCCCCTTCCTTCTTCAAGCTTCGTCCTCTTTATAGGTATCCCTCAATGTAACCTCCCAAGGGCAGTTAAAAAACTACCACCACGTTCCATGTGCACGTTCTTTCGATTTTTTTATCTTAGCTTACGGTTTAGAAACTGCCTCCACGTTCTATGTGCAATTTAACCACTCCTTGATTTCTAACCTTGGCCACGATGTGAAAAGCCACTCCTTACATTCCATATGCATGATAACCGTTTCCCTTGATTTCGATTCCAGTTACCAAGTACGATTTCCCTTAACGTTGACTTTGCACTATACTTTACCATAACTTCCATCGATTTTCCTTTCTTTTCTGATTCTCGATTCCCATTCTCGATTTATGCGTTCATTCTATCTCGTGGTCACTAGGTATCTTCCAACCATCCTTCCGATTTATCAGCTTTTAACCAATCATATGATATTCGATTTTCTCTCTTCTATTTTTCGATCATTGTATCGATTTCTCACTAACAGGAAGAATATTCTTGGGATTGATGTTCACCACCCACAGGGAATAGATGTCAAGCTTACAAATGACTCAGACCATTATTATGAGAAGTCTCAACAATATAAAAAAGGTTCAAAGACTAATTAAAAGGATCACGACATTGGTACATTTTCTCTTATGCTTAGAAAAGAAAAAAAGTGCAACTAATATTAAAGGTGATGAAAAAAAGCAAAAAAATTTGGGAGAGATGATATAGTCGAAGATGCCTTTGAAAGGCTTAAAAAAATTTCCTGTTTGTCTCCCAATATTGCAAAAATCGAGATAAGGAAGTCCACTACACTTGTACTGATTTTATCTAGGGAAGCCATAAGCACAACTGACTGCTCCAAGATAAAGAATCATGGTACCAACAAATTAAAAAATTAGCCCTAGCCTTAGTCACTGCAGCTCAACATTTAAGACCATATTTTCGGAGTCATAAGATAATAATAAGAAGTGATTACTCTATAGCAAAGGCACTAGAAAAGTCAGAATTGACTGGCCGAATAATTACCTGACCAAATAATTACCTGACCAATTGAACTATTAGAGTATAACATTCACTATGAATCGCGAACTCATCAAAACGCAATGCCTAGCTACCTTTATAAACGAGATGACACCGACCATGACGATTGAAAGCACATGGTGGATACTGTATGTGGATGACTCCTCTAAGAAGAAAGGAGGCGGGACAGTCATCGTCTTTGAAAGATTCGGAACCTTACCTTGAACAATTTCTCTCATTTGATTTCAAAACCACAACAATGAAGCTGTGTATGAAACACTCATAACTGCTATTTCAGTTGGCAAAAGAGATACATCGAAGAAGGTCAAGTGCATGAATAAAGTTTTATTTGAGAAGTTCGGCGAGGAGGATGCGAACCTTAAATCAAGCTACAGGAGACGAGGGTGAATAAGTCTTATTCCAGAAGGTGAATAAAGTCTTATTTAGAAAAGTGAAAAGATGGATGAAGAAGAAATAAAATTTTAAAGATAAATGAAAGAAAAAGAATTTTTTTTAAAAAAATTAATTATACTTTAAAAATATTTTTTATTTAATTTTTAAAGATTATTATATATATATATATATATATATATATATATATATATATATAATCTATTGTTAAGAATTTTTCTAGAAGCTTATTAGATTGTTATAGTATAAACAAATGTATTTTAGAGACTTGTAAAATATTCATTAATATTTATAGATTTAAGTTTAATTTGTAATTAAATAAAAATTTTAAACATATTTAATAAATTAATTATAAAAGTTTTAGTTAAAATAGAAAACTATTTAGTGAAACTATAATATCAAATAAATATATTAAAAATAAAATTTATTTATTTCCTTTTTCTGTCTTCTTTCTACTCACGTATCAAATACACTTATATTATCTAAAATAAGAATTTAAACAAAATCTCATAACACTTTATTATAACACTCTATTATATGAATATAAGAAAAATTAAATACAAATTTAAAATGTTTTTTATTAGAGTGTTCGAATATTATGGATTTTAAATTCATTATATAACTATTATCACCACTTGGATTCTTTACCCAAACGTTAAATTGTTTTCAAGATTTATTATTTACATTGATCCAATATTTTTTACATAAGTTAGCTAGCAGTCAATGACCTGGACTTCAGAATTGTTAGCAGGACTTCTCAATTTAAATTTCTTATGTTCAGAGTTACCTTCTCAAACCTTTTCATGAAATTTTTTAGACTTTCACCTTGTCTCATGTTAACAACGATAATCAATATGAGATGATGCGCTGGTGGCGAATTATATTCTAAATTTGATCATCAAACACTACAAGAAAAAACATTTTAGCGACCGAAAAAATCGGTCGCTAATGGCAAAAAATCGGTCGCTAATTAGTTAGCGACCAAAATTAGCGACCGAAATGCGTCGTCGCAAAAAGCCAAGTCGCTAATGTGTTAGCGATCGATTTTCATTTCGGTCGCAAAATAGCGACCGAAATTAATATATCAAATTGGTCGCTAAATCGGTGACAAAGTTAAAAAAATAGCGACTGATTTAAATCGGTGACAAAGTTAAAAAAATAGCGACCGATTTAAATCGATCGCTAAATCAATGAAAAAGTTAAAAAAATAGCGATCGATTTAAATCGGTCGCTAAATCAATAACAAAATTAATCATTTTTATTTATTTCCCCTACCTCTTTTTATATTATATTTTTGCTTATTTAAGTTTTTATATTTTTTAGAAGTTTAAATTATTATTAGGTTGATTGTCATTGTCGGATTCGAACCCGATACCTTAGAGTTAGAGTTGAAACTTCAACCATTGAGCTACTAGGATTTTTTAATAATAACTTACAAATAAATTATATTTATATACAAATAAATGTATATCCGTATAAATATATAAATATAAAATCTATAAATAAAAATATATTTATATATTTTAATATATATTTAAATATTAATACATTGATATATTTATATATTTAAATATTGATATATTTATATCTTTATATTTTTATATATATTTATATATTTATATTTTTACATATATTTATATCTTTCCATATTTATATATTTATATATAAAGATATAAAGATATTAGTTTTGTATACAAATAATATTATAATATAGTATTTTATACTATTAGTATAGTATACAAATTATATATTAGTATAGTATAGTATACAAATTATTAGTTTTGTAATTTATACACTATAAAAATAAATTACAAATATTATAACATAATGGTATATTAATATAATATATTTGTATTCTAATTTTTAATTAAACTAAAATTACGCTAATAATGTATAATAATATATGAGGGGATAATATTGATATATTGATATATATATATATATATATTAATATATATATATATATATATATATATTTATATATATATATATATTTATATATTTATATATATATATATTTATATATTTATATATATATATATATTTATATATTTATATATATATATATATTTATATATTTATATAATGATATATTTATATATTTATATTTTGATATATATATATATATATATTTATATATTTATATATTTATTTATATCCTTATACATTTATATCTTTATATCTTTATATCTTTATATCTTTACATATATTTATATCTTTATATATTTACATCTTTATATATATATATATATATATATATATATATATATATTTATATATTTATAAAATCTATAGATACAAATATATTTATATATTTTAATATATATTTAAATATTGATATATTTATATATTGATATATTTATATATTTACATATTTTTTAAATGTAGATATCTTTAATATTTTGGACATATAAATATAATTTATACATGTTTTTAAACCTTTTTCTAATATTTGTTTTTAAAAATATAACATCATTTTTAAAATTTTATAGATTTATTTCCAATCTATAATTTGAGTTTTTAAAAATGTTTATTTCCAATCTATAATTTGACAGAAATCACATAGAAATGTATTATATGTTATATTATAGAAATGAAATTAAGTTATACTTTGGAGAATATATATATATATATATATATATATATATATATATATATATTAAAATATAATTTATTTTTAAGTTGATAATTTTTATTTTTATTTATGTAAATTTTATATATAAAATTAATTTAGAGTTCATATATGTAATTTTAATTTATGTAATATATATATATATATATATATATATATATATATATTATATATATATATAATTTATTTAACATTAATTTTATAGTTATAATTTTTTTAAAGTTATAATTATAAATAACATTTTTTTAATTATATAATTATAATTTTTATAATATATAATTGATAAATAATTTTTTTAATTTCAATTTAATATATATTTTTATTTATAATTTTTTGATATATATTTGAGAAATTAATCAATTATAATCTATTATTTGAAAAACTAATCAATTATTTAGAAAACTAATCGATTATAATTAATTATTTGAAAAATTTATCCAATATG